CTAAAGTTGATTTTCCTACATAGGATGGACACGGATTGGGAAGATAAGTAATTAAATAATAACATTTTTTATTGTCTATCTTAATCCCCGTCACCGTAGCATAAACCACCGCAACCACCGTCCCGTCAAAACAACCACCTCACCGTAAAGGTCGAACCCTAATCTTAATCACATTAGTGTACAAATTTGTACCTGTGATTGTCGTATAAATAAATGAAATAAATAAGGAAGAGAAATCATAAAGGAGTAAAAGATTAATTTACTTAATTTTATAATTTTTACAAAAATTTTAAGAAAATAAACTCAATTCACATCTTAATATTATTTTTTTATTCATTAAAAAATATTTTTTGATTAATTTGGACAGCTTTTAGGGGACTCCCTTTATTCTCGTCTAATAAAATATGCATATATTTATAAACATTTTTGGTATTTTTGCTTCCTGCTGTGTTGAGAGAGTAAATGAAGCTTATTTGTTCATGTCATTTTTGCTTATTTCAAATTTATTTTGAAAGCATTATTTAATTCAAAATATTTTTAGAAGTGATGAGTGTTAGGCATGAAATAAATAAAATATTTATGTATTACTTCCCTGTTTTGGAGCTTCCAAACTAAAAATGAAATTGTTTAAATTTTTTAAATTAAAATTGTATTTTATATTTTAAAATAGCTGTAAATTTATGGATTGTTCAACTCTTTTAGGAATTAAATGAAAAAAACTTTAAAATTCAGGATTTTTTTCTGATTAATTTTTAATTTTTTTTAAAATTATTTGGATATAGTGTAGTTCACCGGAGGTAAAAGTTCGGGACGGGACATATGTCATTCGATTCGACTCAGCTCGCCGAGACGAATCGAATGACATATGTCTCGTCCCGAACTTTTACCTCCGGTGAACTACACTACAGCCAATTATTTTTTATAATTTATAAAAAATAATTTTTTGTTTAAGAAAGATTTTAAAACATTTTTCATGCCAAAACCGTATATTCTTTAATAACTACCCTGGGTAAATATTGTTTCGACCTTCTGCTGGAGGGAGTTATTAATCCAGGTTGTAATTATACGAGGTTTGAAATTTAAACGTGTTTTAGGGCATTTGTTAAGGGTAATTATTATTTCAATCTATCGTTGTATGGGGTAATTAATGGCGCGGGGTAATTATTTGAGGGAGGGCAATTAATAAGGTTATACGGTATAATCATTTGCTCCTCAATAATATTTTTTAAATTCAAATCAAATCAATTTTTATTTTTATTCCAATCTGGTAAACCTTATTTACATACAAACTCTAATTGCTTACAAAGCTGTTTCCATGGGGCCGAACACTAAATAATAATAATGGGAGGGACAGCATAAATACATATTTTATTTTTATTTATTGCTATTTATGTTCTCGAATATAATTTATTTCATTCGCTAAAAATAAAAATAAAATTTCATGTGGCGCCAGAAACTTTTGTCGATTTTTGGCCTTTCTTTTGTCTTTTTTATTTATTGTGTCTACCTATTTTGGTTTTTTATAATAATATGCTAATTGCTTTCAATAATTATTTTAAAAATTTTTTCTGAATTTTTTGGCATAAATTATTAAATTTTTATTTAAAATGTTAAAAACCTATTTTTAGTCTTTGAACAACAAAATAAAATGCTCTTGATATATAATTTCATATAACGGTCGAACCCATTTCAGAAAATTTCATAGGATTGGCTAGGACTTAATCCTAAAAACTCTCAGATACAAATTTGCTTATTTTACTATGCTAGGAGAAACTTCTCAGCCTTGCATTTAACAAATTTTGGTCATTACTTTTAAAAATAAGACGAGGCATAATTTTAATTTTATTTCAAAAAATAAAAGTATATTTCAATTATTTAGTACTTTTACAATTTCATATATTGTTTAATGTTTACATACGGTATCACGACTTTTGCGCCGAGAACATTTGCGCCGCGACTTTTGCGCCGCGACATTTGCGCCGGGCGACTTTTGCGCCGCGACTTATGCGCCGCGACTTTTGCGCCGAGCGACTTATGCGCCGCGACATTTGCGCCGCCATTATTTTAAAAAATAAAATAATAACTTCAATTGGGCCTGTACCCCTTGGGTTTAAAAAATGGGATCTAGGAACTGAAGGAAGTTCAGGAAGTACAATAGGGGTCCGGTACTGATGAATTAGGTCTGTGTCATAAAAGTAAGCGGAAATAAGGAGCCAATCTCTAATAGAGGGTGGCATTCTAATAGAGGCTACCCCTATTCCGGCATGTTTTTCTGCCCAAGTGGGTGCACTATTTTGTAGGGTTGTTGGATCCGGATATCCGAAGATTACCAACTATCCTACTATCTTACTATAGTGGGATCTGGCTGTATTTATTCATATTTTTTAATGATAGTGGCGGCGCAAAAGTCGCCGGCGCAAAAGACGCGGCGCAAAAGTCCCCCGGCGCAAAAGTCGCTCGGCGCATAGGTCGCGGCGCAAAAGTCACGGAACCTTACATACATACTTTTTAAACAGTAAAAAAAATATACCTATTCTAAATTCTCTATTTACATTAAAACAATAAAATTTATTTTTTTCTAAAAATTATTTATGTCACTTCAACTCTCATTTTTTTAATGTTAATGACTTTTTTTGATGAATTGGAGCCTGAAAACAATTAAAAGAATTTTTCTATTCAAATTTTTTATGAAAGTTTGGCAGTTTGTGTAGGAGGAAAAAATATAAATAAATAATTTAAAATGAATACAAAATTATTAAATGCCCGTTAAAAAAATATTTTCCATTTTTTCAAACAGAATTTTCCAGTTTTTTAAACAAAAAAAGTAAAATTTTCAAATCCCCCTCATTTTTTTATATTTGTTTATTTAACTCTGTTTAAATATTTAATGGACAAATCTCTTCTAGGCAATACTTTTCTAGACATTTATTTTGGATTATTTTTAAGTTTTCTTTTAAAAGATTTGACATACATAAAGCCCTTCTATTTATTCTTTTCTTTAAATCCTCATTAATATAATTTTTCCTGAAATAGAAAAGTCATGAAAGCGGATGTATCTTTTTTAAATTTGATTTTTAAAAGTTGGATCCAACATATTCATTTTATATTTTTCGAAATTTTTATAAATCTCGATCAGGGCTGTCCGCAATTGCGGATTGCGTAAATTACTTACGGATGCGGAAAGATCTCGATCCGTATTCTGACATCTTTTCCCATTCGTTGTCCAAATTATGCCATATCCGTCCATATTTTTGGCAACCTTAATTGTAATAGTAGACATATAAACTAATAGATTTCGATTAGTGATAATATTCTTATTAAGTTTTTAAACGATCACTTCGATATTCTAAATGATCATCTCGTCTAAATGATCACAACGTTCTTAAATTTTAATCTTGCTGATAGCTGTTTCATAATTAATTTATTTTTCAGAGAAATAATTATAATTAATTGAAATTATTTTAAATGGGCGGTTCTACAACAGTTTCTTCATCTATATCCTCATCGTTATCTACTTGTTCAAGTAAATTTGAGATTAATTTAAAATAGAATTTGGGTGTTTTTTAAATCTAAAATATTTTCGTTTAAATTAAAAAATTATTCCCCCTTAGGTGGTGAAAGAAATTGTATCGAACGGTCAACAAATTTTGAAGAAGCATTACAGCAAAAAGATGCTCGGAAACGATCACCGCGTTTCTTTTTTTGGACATTAAATTTTGGAAGGTTAAAAAGGAATATTTTAAGTAATATTACAAATTAATTATTTTCTAGTGGGAACAAAAATAAAGACAAAAATAAAAGACTTAATAGTAATGAATCTACTCCTCGATCACCAGATTCTTCTCGAAGTGTAAAATTTGATGTTAGTAATTTTAAATATTTTATATAAAATAAGCAACAGACTGACACTAGACAAAATTCTTATTTTATAAAATATAATTTAATTAAGGCTGCTGAATCTTGGCCATGGATTGATGACGATAATTCGGTCATTATTGAAAAATTAGTAGAAGGAAGCGTGGCAATATTGGGATAATGAAATTTAAGAATTTGATGGCTGAATTAAAAATACAAATATTAATAAATAATAAAAAGAAATTTAATAAATATGAATTAATTGTATGTATTATTATATAATTAATAATAAAAAATATTTGGAAATACTGCTAAAATTATTTTAAAATTTAAAAAAATTTTAAAATGTTTTTTTTTAATTTTGAATCTGTAACTCCTAGCAGTTCTGGATTTGGATCTTGGGAAATATATGATTCAATATCACTAGGGTTGCCGTTTTCGAGTCGGGCCGACGTTCGAGTCATATTTTCGGGCTTCATTTTTATCGAGACGGGCATCGAGTCTTTTTCGGGCCAGATATCCTATGCCCGACTAGATCTTTCGGTCCGAGTCGGTCCATTTTGGACACGTTCGAAGTTCTCACTTTCTAGATTTTATTAATTATCTTATTTTCCATTCAGCTTAGATTATTTCTAGGTAAGAATTTTAGTAATTAAAAATGTTATTATTTTAATTAAGTGTATTAGAATTTTTAAAATAATTTTTTAAATAAAATTTTTTATTTGCCACATTGATACTTCTAAAATAAGTAAATAAAAAGTTTCTTTTTTAATATAAAAAGTAGTTTGTGATTATTAAAATTTTTTTAGAAATTTTTAAATAAAATTTTTTTTCATTTCCTTTAAAATTTAAATTTAAATATTTTCTCAACTGTTTTTCTCCTTAAAAATAATATTTTTTAAAAAATTTAAATATTTTTATAGACAGTTGTTACAATAATTTAAACAATTTTTATCTAAATTTAGAAAATAAAAATTTTAATTTAAAGGAATTAAAAAAAGTACTTTGAATTACATAATACAGGTGTGAATATTTTTTAAGAAATTTTAAAAATAAGTGCAATTTAAAATCCCTATTTAAGCGAATATCTCAAGAAAAATTTTTCAAAACAAAATTCATTAAATCATTAAAAACTAATTAATATATTCAAAAAATGTATTCAATAATTATTTTATTAATATTCATTACAAGTTAGTTAATTTATTTTTTGATTAAAAAATATTTTTTGGATATTTTTAAAGAAATGGGAGATACGACTTATTTAGCAAAAGTCGGTGAGAAAACCTCACACCTAATCCTAATTATGGTTGTTCACAGGACAATCAAATTTTGATCCCCGATAGGTCCCATAATCCATCCTCTTGAATTTAATAAACATTAAAAAATAATTTTTAATTATAAAATAATGGCTAAATTACTATTAGAAATTATTAAATAAACACTTCTAATATTCATATAAATAAGCTTCCGAAAATTACAGGGCAATCCATTTGTGCAAACTTTTAATATTTTCATGCCACACAAGAATATCATTTAAATAACTTAAGTGCATTAAGTTAAAAACAATCCAGGAGGTCCTTCAAGTAAACGGATAATATATAAGCAAATCCGATTAATTAATTTTTCATAAATTTGAAAACCTTATTCATTAACTGAAAAGTATGGCCATATTTCTAACAAATTCTATTGCCATATTGGCAATGATTGTTGTTAAATTCCGAGGTCATATAAATTAATATTAAATATCTTTTATAAACTATATCTGTAATTTAGACGCTATGGCTCTCGATCAGGCTGGACGTGACGCAGTAGTTTATTGGCACAATTATTTCCGTGCTGAACTAGTTGCAGGAAGGGTCAAAAATAAAACTGGAGAGTTTTTGCCAAAAGCAAAGGATATGAAGCAAATGTATTTCTCTCCTGAACTTGAAAAACAGGCACAGGAATGGGCTGATAAATGCACTTATAGTCATTCTGATCCATATGGAAATTATGGAGAGAATTTCTATGCTTATTCAAAATTTGACAATGATTGTATTTAATCATTTAATTAAGTCTTATTTCTCTAAATTAAAGCTGCTGCCATCGAGTATGTAGTAAAAGGATGGTGGTCAGAGTTGGAATACAGAGGAGCTTTGGGACCATATCCTGGCCAAGACTGCGTTGCATTTGATGCAGCTCAAAATAATAGAGGCATTGGACATTGGACACAACTTGCCTGGTGGGAGACAAATCAAGTTGGGTGTGGAATTGGACGTTGCCCTAAATATAAATCTTATGTCGTTTGCCAATACAAGCCACCGTAATAAATATTTACTTAATTCTCTATAACTATTTTTAGTGGAAATGTTTATACTGCATGTGTTTATCATGCTGGTGAGCCTTGTACGAGTTGCCCGAACTCATGCAACGAAACATCTAAACTCTGTCTTGATCCAAAATACGTATCAACAACTACTGGTACAACAAAAACTTTATTGGACACTTCAAAAGCTCCTAGTACTCCAACAGCAAAAATTAGTCAACCAACTACAGGTACAACAAAAACTTTGCTGGACACTTCAAAAGCTCCTAATACTCCAACAACAAAAATTAGTGAACTTTTAACAACATCGCAAAAAGCAACAACAGTTGAAACTAAAACAGATATTCCTAAATCTGATGAATGTAGCGATTCTAGTAGCTCTGATGAGGACGATTAAGAATAAGAAATAATAATAAAGAATAACATTCGAATGATATTTAATTAAATGTTTGTGTGTAAAATTGTAGTGGAATTAAATTAATATGTCTATGAATCATAAAAGACTCATTACAAATTTAGGTGCCTTTTTGACTAGTATTCTGTTCATCGAAATGAATGAACACTAATATAATTCGGGAAATACTACAATAACTTGAGAAATAATAATAAATTACCTTCCATATTCAAAATATCAACTTTTATTCAGCACAATACTGAATTAGATTTGATAGGACTTGTTGATGGTTCTCCTTTTGGACAGAATCTTCAAGAACAATTATTATTAATCAACAAAAAATGATTAAACAATTCAATGATACTATTAGTTCAGTGTGCCCCGAAGCACTGTTATCCGTCCTTATTGTTTACAATTTATTTGACAATAAAACTAAGTAAAGACTTTGTTTCCATCTTCGTGGAAAATATTAAACTCACATTCAGTTAAGGAAAAAATTTAGATGTCTTGTATTAAAAATAATATTAATAATTTACTTCTATCTGAGGATTTAATATTTCTTTAGATAAGCTTACATACATATTATTAATAAAACCCAAGGTTTACTTAGGTGCAAACAAAGAAAATTTTTTGAAACCAATAAGGTTAAAGATTAAGGTATAATCACAAATAGCAAATTAGATAGATTTCCATGAGCATATTAATCTTCGAAAGCTTTTACGCTGAGATATTATGATTAGAGATCGGACCAGATAAATATTTGACGTTGGAAAATCAAATATTTGATCATATTTATTTGATTTTATTTGATCAAATATTTGTTTGATGAGTTTTGAAAAAATCAAAATTTTTTAAATACTTTCAATTATCAAATAATTTGATAAAATATTTTGTTTAACCACTTTTGGAAAAAAAATTTTCCAAATATTTTCAAAAATCAAATAATTTGATCAAATAATTGTTTGATGAGGTCTAAAAAGTAATGTTGTTGATTAAATATTAATGTTGTTGATTGTTGTTGATTAAATATTAAATTATTTGAAAATTATTTGATTTTCCCAAAAATTCTATTTTTTGTTTAGAAATGGTGAAAAATTGTTAATTCAGCATTATATTTTTTTGATTTTTGCCTGTGGCGGTCCACCCCTATAGCATCTTAATAAATTAACAATTTCATGAAATTGGAATTAATGTTTTTTATTTTTTCTCATTTTCCCTTTTCACCTCCTTCTAATTGAGGATTTGAGGTTGGCGCATTGCGCGGTAAATGGTAAGATAAAAGCAATTGTTGATGTTGAGAAAATGGCTGTTAATGTTGTTGATGCTGTGGCGCTTGATAGGAAGACGATTGAGGCTGTTCATGTTAATGCACTAATTGAGGCTGAGCAGGTTGTGGGGATCATGCTAGAACTCGTGGTGAAGGTGATTGAGTTTGAGACAATTGTTGCTGTTACTGCGCTTGTTCATTTTGCCTCTGAATTTAAATAAAAAATTTATTGAAATATTTAAATTTTGAAAATTTTTAGAATTTAAATTATCTAAATTTAGGAAGTTAAGTAAAAATTTAAATTACAGCAATCTCTTCAAATATGAGTTGATTTGGTATCCATGAAATTGTAATTAAAAAGATAATTTTTAAAATTAGTTTCTTTGTATTCCACTCTCAATTTAAAAAAAACGCCAATAATTATTTACGGTGTATGTGTTCAATTAATTTAAAATTTACAAGATTACCTTCTTCAAGAAGAAGCATACCAATCCCAAAAGGGCTTCTGTGAGCCCAATTCTCGAATTCCATTAAGAAATGTCGGATAAAAGTACGGGTTCTACTTGACTTTATGAGTCCAATCGAACTTTATGAGTCCAATCGATGTTTATGAGTCCAATCGAACATTATGAGTCCAATCAAAATTTATGAGTCCAAACAAAACTTTATGAGTCCATAGGAATTTTATGAGTTCAATCACATTTTATTAGATTTTATTAAATAATACATTTATTAAATAATACATTAAAAATGAATAGGATTATGTTGTTAGACCTATGGAATATAGGCGAGGCGCTTGTGCAAAACCCCGCGCTTCGCGCGGGGTTTTGCGGCACACGCCTCGCGGGAGTCAACGGTCGCTGGGTTCTGTGTCGGCAACATAAACCTATCCCTTTTTTCAGCACCTGCTTTGATCTGACGACCTACCACGTAGCTCACAAAAATCCGATTGGACTCATAAGCTGTGATTGGAATCATAAACCGTAGTAGAGCCACAATTTTTACTTAGAATAATAAGACATGTCGGATTTATAAAATTTGTTTGGACTCATAAATCTTGATTGGACTCATAAAGTTTTATTTAGACTCATAAAGTTCGATTGGACTCATAAAGTCAAGTAGAACCAAAGTACGACACCCATAACAAGATATTTTTTCATAGTTTGAATTTCGATGTTGGGCGATGTCTCATTATTGTGCAACCTTTTCTTTTCTTTTTTATGTCATTTTTTTAATGAGAGGTTGTCGATCTTAGAATATTCTTCAGTTAAAGAAGTACATAAACACAATTAGGGTTGCCGTTTTCGAGTCGGGCCGACGGTCGAGTCATTTTTTTCGGGCTTCATTTTTATCGAGTCGGGTCAAACGAGTCTTTTTCGGGCCTGATTTTTATCGAGTCGGGTCAAACGAGTCTTTTTCGGGCCTCATTTTTATCGAGTCGGGTCATACGAGTCTTTTTCGGGCATAATTTTTATCGAGTCGGGCATCGAGACTTTTTCGGGCCTTTTTTCAAAAAGATTTATTCAAAAAAACAAAAATAATTTTGCTTATTTGTCATCAAAAATAAATCATATTAACATTGTTTTTCATAATCTTCTTCACTAGGGTTGTTCCCCGATGGGGGGGGGGAGGAGGAGGGCCACGGGGAAAATTTTCGGGGAGGCAGCGCCACGGGGGGGGGGGGCGCCTTCTTTTTTTACGCCTTCTTCATTTTTGCGCCGCAGGCGGAAATTTTGGGAATTTTGGAGGTCCTTAAGCCAGATTTCTTCCATTTTTTGCGCAGCAGGCGAAAATTTTGGGAATTTTGGAGGTCCTTAAGCCAGATTTTTTCCATTTTTTGCGCAGCAGGCGAAAATTTTGGGAATTTTGGAGGTCCTTAAGCCAGATTTCTTCCATTTTTTGCGCTAAAGCTGAAAAATCTAGAGTTTTGAATTTAAAAAAATAATATCAAAGGTTTAAAATCGTCTCTTGTATTAAAAAAAGTTAAAATAATCTGAAAATAAGTCTCAAACGATGATTAGTACTCGAACCCAACAATCCTTTAAATAAAATCCAGCGCCTTAACCACTCAACTAACCGCTCATTTAATTAGTTCTGAAAGAAAATATATTTCCCTTACTCAGTAAAAGAAATATCAAAGAGGAAGATCCAAAAGGAAATATTTATCGAGGACATTCGAGTCGGGCCAGTTTTTTCCGAGTCATTTTATTCGGGCTTCATTTTTATCGAGTCGGGTCATACGAGTCTTTTTCGGGCCTGATTTTTATCGAGTCGGGTCAAACGAGTCTTTTTCGGGCCAAATATCCTAGGCCCGACTCGATCTTTCGGTCCGAGTCGGGCCATTTTGGCAACCCTAAACACAATAGACCTTTACAAGCTTTGGTTAAAAAATAACTAAATGTACTTGATAATTAAACATTTTATATATGTATGTTTAAAGATAAATTAAACATTTTATTATACATAGTTTTAATATTTTTTAAAACATTTTCTAAATAAAATTATTTCTAATTGTCAACATTAATATTTTTAAAGTAAATACTTCAATTCTTTTAATCTGACAATAAATAAAATATATAGTTTGTGATTATTTTTAAAAATTTAAAAAGAAAAAAAAGTTTCATTTCCTTTAAAATTAAAATTTAAATATTTTCTCAACTGTTTTTCTCCTTAAAAATAAAACTTTTAAAAAATTTAAATTTTTCATAGACAGTTGTTACAATAATATAAACAATTTTTAGCTAAATTTAGAAAATAAAAATTTTAAGGGAATATTTTTTTAAAAAGTACTTTGAATTAATACAGGTGTGAATATATTTTTAAGATTTTTTTGGAAATAAGTGCAATTTGAAATCCCTATTTAAGCGGATATCTCAAGAAAATTTTTAAAAACAAAATTAAATCATTAAAAACTAATTATATTTTTAAATATTAAAAAATGTATTCAATAATTATTTTATTTATGTTTATTACAAGTTAGTTAATTTTTTATTCAAAAAAAATTAGAAAATTTGAAACTGAAGCAATAACCTCCTAGCAGTTATTGCTAGTCGCTTTCGCTCACCACGTACAGGTGCTCTACCAACTGAGCTATCGGGACGCTACTTCACCTTCTCTTTTAATATCGGAGAAAAATTAGAGCATATGCTAACACCTAATCCTAATTATGGTTGTTCAAAGGACAATCAAATCTTGATCCGCGATATCACCCATAATCCATCCTCATACATAAATCACAGTTAACTTGTTTATAGACTCAAAAAAATAATTTTTAATTATATGCATACTTCTATAATAAGCTTCCGAAAATTAAAGGACAATCCATTTGTGCAAACTTTTAATAATTTAATGCCACACAAGAATATCATCTAGAGAATTAAAGTGCATTAATTTAAAACTGTCTGTTATTTAAACAATCCAGGAGGTCCTTTAAGTAAAGAGATAATATATAAGCGAACTTAATTAATTAATTATCCATTAAATTTGAAAACTTTATTAATTAACTGAAAAGCATGGCAATCATTTTAATAAATTCTATTGCCATATTGGCAATGATTGTTGTTAAATTCCCAGGTTAAACATATACATTATTATTATTAAATATCTTTTATAAAATATATCTGTAATTTAGACGCTATGACTCTCGATCAAGCTGGACGTGACGCAGTAGTTTATTGGCACAATTATTTCCGTGCTGAACTAGTTGCAGGAAGGGTTAAAAATAAAACGGGAGAGCTTTTGCCTAAAGCAAAGGATATGCAGCAAATGTATTTCTCTCCTGAACTTGAAAAGCAGGCACAGGAATGGGCTGATAAATGCACTTATAGTCATTCTGATCCATATGGAAATTATGGAGAGAATTTCTATGCTTATTCAAAATTTGACAATGATTGTATTTAATTATTTAATTAAGTCTTATTTCTCTAAATTAAAGCTGCTGCCATCGAGTATGTAGTAAAAGGATGGTGGTCAGAGTTGGAATACAGAGGAGCTTTGGGACCTTATCCTGGCCAAGACTGCGTTGCATTTGATGCAGCTCAAAATAATAGAGGTATTGGACATTGGACACAACTTGCTTGGTGGGAAACTAATCAAGTTGGGTGTGGAATTGGACGTTGTCCTAAATATAAATCTTATGTTGTTTGCCAATACAAGCCACCGTAATAATTATTTTTAATTTTCTATAATTAATTTTAGTGGAAATGTTTATACTGCATGTGTTTATCATGCTGGTGAGCCTTGTACGAGTTGCCCGAACTCATGCAACGAAACATCCAAGCTCTGTCTTGATCCAAAATACGTATCAACAACTATTGGTACAACAAAAACTTTGTTGGACACATCAAAAGCTCCTAATACTCCAACAACAAAAATCAGTGAACCTACTAAAGGTACAACAAAAACTTTATTGAACACATCAAAAGCTCCTAATACTCCAACAACAAAAATCAGTGAACCTACTAAAGGTACAACAAAGACTTTGTTGGACACATCAAAAGCTCCTAATACTCCAACAACAAAAATCAGTGAACCTACTAAAGGTACAACAAAAACTTTATTGAACACATCAAAAGCTCCTAATACTCCAACAACAAAAATCAGTGAACCTACTAAAGGTACAACAAAGACTTTGTTGGACACATCAAAAGCTCCTAATACTCCAACAACAAAAATCAGTGAACCTACTAAAGGTACAACAAAAACTTTGCTGAACACATCAAAAGCTCCTAATATTCCAAAAACAAAAATTATTAAGCTGTTGAAAAAAATTATTGAGCTGTTGAACAACAGTTGGAACTAGAACAGATATTCCAAAATCCGATGATTGTAGCGATTCTAGTAGTTCTGATGAGGACGATTAAGAAAAAAAAATTAATAATAAAGGATAACATTCAAATAATATTTAATTAAATGTTTTTGTGTAAAATTGTAGTGGAATTAAATTAATATGCCTATGAATACTAACAAACTCATGACAGATTTAGGTGCCTTTTTAACCATTTTGCGCACATATTTGGCTACAGTAACTTGGGAAATGATTCGCAAGAAAACCATATATATTCAAAAAAGCAACTTTTATTCAGTACAATTACTGAATTAGATTGATAGGATTTGTTGATGCATATCCTTCTGAACATTTGTTATTAATCATTGGTACTATTAGTTCAGTGTGCCCCGAAGCACTGTTATAGGTCCTTTATTGTTTACAATTTATTTGATAATAAAACTAAGTAAAGACTGTTTCCATTAAATTTTGATGAGCATTTTAGTCTTCAAAAACTTTTACATCGGGATATTATGATAGAAGATTAAATCTTCTCAATTTGGAGTTATTATATTTAAGAATTTTAAAATTGATTTAATTATCCAAGGGTTCCGATCGACAAAATGCCAATCAAGAGTACAAAAATCTCGACCTTAGAGTGCATAGAGACAAAATTTCCAAATGATAAGTACACTCAAAATTAAATTGGAAAATATTTATTCGTCCTCGAATCTTTCATATTTCTCTCATAAATGAATCTTTTCTAATAATTTATTGTTTCCACTGAGCATTTTGTGCATTTCAATGCGTTTTTTGTGGCGCCGAAGGTGCCAAAAAATCTATTTTTGCGCCGCGGGCGAAAATTTTGAGAATTTTGAAGATCCTTAAGCCAGATTTCTTCCATTTTTTGCGCCGCAGGCGAAAATTTTGAGAATCACTTCCCCGATTTCATTTTCATTCCAAAATGTTGATTTTAGAGTCATATTTTAAATAAAGTACAAATTCGAATTTGTGAGTACGGAGGTCATTTTAGAGTACTGTACTCTGAAATAAAGTACGAATCGGAACCCTGAATTATCCTATTATAATAATTTTTAGATACTCGATATTTTAAACACACAAACAGTTTGGACTACTTGTATTTTATTTCTTTTCTTCTGTTCTCTAGCTGTCTCTTTTTTTCACTCTTTTCTTCCGCTCCCGAGTGATCGAGGTGAAATCCCAAATCTCCGTTTTCTCTATCAGATTTTAATTTTTATAACATTTCATAGATAAGTTATGCATCAAACTTGCAGAAACTGTGAGAATTTTTATTTTTTCTGGAGAAGATTTCCTATTTATGGAACTTTTACAAAAACATAACACGTTTAGACATCTTTAGTAATTACCTTCAATCAAAGATAGCACAATCATGTCGTTGACGAAATTGAAGATTTAAAGATTAAAAATATATTTTTATAGTTTTTGTAGAATTTTGTTTATTATTTTTGGAGGTGACTCAGTGAGTCACCTTCCATTTTTGAAAATTTTTTGTACATTTTTATAATGTACTTTCTATAGCATCATTTTTATTATATTATAGATATTTTTGCTTATAAAAGATAGGCAGAAATATCACTTTTTCAATGTTCATGTTTTTTTGTGATCATTCATTTCTTTATAAATATCTGTGATATTTAGAGATAAAGATTTTAGTTGTGTTATTGTGTTAATTTGGTTATCTAGATTAATTATTCTGTAGGAATAATTATTCTGAGATATTTTAATTCCTTATTAGATAATAGGAAGGTGAAATAGTTTTCCTAATAAAGAGGCAAGTATTTTACAAATCATACATATTATTAATTTCATAAACAAAACTAGTAAAACATGAAATTCATTGCCAAATTATTGAACTTTGCAATTCTTCAGCTAGAGAAGCTATACACAATAGACCCTTATATGTATAATCTTTAGTTAAAAAATAACTTTAAAAATGTTAAACACACGTTTTATACAATTTTTAATATATTCTTTCAAACATTTTAAAATAAAATTATTTCTAATTGCCAACATTAATATTTCTAATTTAAATACTTTAATTCTTTTAATTTGACAATTCTTCAGCTAGAGAAGGGTGACCCAAAAGAAACCATAAATAAAATATATATGTATTTTGTGATTATTTTTAAAAATTTAAAAAGAAAAAAAAGTTTCATTTCCTTTAAAATTTAAATTTAAATATTTTCTCAACTGTTTTTCTCCTTAAAAATAAAATTTTTAAAAAATTTAAATATTTTCATAGACAGTTGTTACAATAATTAAAACATTTTTATCTAAATTTAGAAAATAAAAATTTTAAGGGAATATTTTTTTAAAAAGTACTTTGAATTAATACAGGTGAGAATATATTTTTAGGATTTTCTTTAAAATAAGTGCATTTTGAAATCCCTATTTAAGCGGATATCTCAAAAAAATCTTCAAAAACAAAATTAAATCATTAAAAACTAATTATATTTTTAAATATTAGAAAAATGTATTCAATAATTATTTTATTTATATTTATTACAAGTTAGTAAATTTATTTTTTAATTAAAAAATTTGAAAATTTGAAATTAAATTAGTAAATCAGAAAATTTTTATTAAATAATTTAGGCATCTATTTATATTTACTTTCTGTTTAGATACTATAATATAATAATAAAAACAATGAATCGGTAGTTTAGAGACTCAATCTAACCGGTAAATGGGATTCTATTTTGTACGGCTATTATATATGTATAGAACCATTAGGACGGCTATTATTTTCAAGAAATATGTATATTTTTGCATTACAAAAAATTTTCCCTCGGGGCCTAAAAATAAGTTAGGCTCAAAAATTTTAAAAACGATTATGGCTTCATTGAAAGCTAAAAATTTTCGCCTGAGCGTGGAAAAGAGGGATTATCACTCGATAAATATTTTGGAGTATTATCACTCCAAAATATCGGACCCTGATACAGCAGCTATCATAGGATTCGGCAACCTTAAACTACAGAATGTTTGTGAACGCAAGCTATTGAAAATTGCCCTTGTCCCTCTTAATATACGGCTGTGCATCTTAATCCCCTATATCTCCCATAATCTATCCTCATAATTGATGATAGTTAACTTGTAAAATAAAAGCTAACAAAAACAATATTTATTTGTAAAATAATAGCTAGAATTTTGTCAACAAAAAGTATTAGACTAATATTCTAACTTATATATAAACAAGCTTCCGAAAATTAAAGGACAATCCATTTGTGCAAACTTTTAATATTTTAATGCCACACAAGAATATCATTTAGAGAATTAAAGTGCATTAATTTAAAACTGTCTGTTATTTAAACAATCCAGGAAATCCTTTAAGTAAAGAGATAATATATAAGCGAACTTAATTAATTAATTATCCATTAAATTTGAAAACTTTATTAATTAACTGAAAAGCATGGCAATCATTTTAATAAATTCTATTGCCTTATTGGCAATGATTGTTGTTAAATTCCGAGGTTATACAATAAATTAATATTATAAAATATTTTTTAAAAATATATCTGCAATTTAGACGCGATGGCTCTCGATCAAGCTGGACGTGACGCAGTAGTTTATTGGCACAATTATTTCCGTGCTGAACTAGTTGCAGGAAGGGTTAAAAATAAAACTGGAGAGCTTTTGCCAAAAGCAAAAGACATGATGCAAATGTACTTTTCTCCTGAACTTGAAAAGCAGGCACAGGAATGGGCCGATAAATGCACTTATAGTCATTCGGACCCGTATGGGAATTATGGAGAGAATTTCTATGCTTATGCAAGAATGGACAATGACTGTATTTAATCATTTAATTAAGTCTTATTTCTCTAAATTAAAGCTGCTGCCATCGAGTATGTAGTAAAAGGATGGTGGTCAGAGTTGGAATACAGAGGAGCTTTGGGACCTTATCCTGGCCAAGACTGCGTTGCATTTGATGCACCTCAAAATAATAGAGGTATTGGACATTGGACACAACTTGCTTGGTATAACACTAATCAAGTCGGGTGTGGAATTGGACGTTGCCCCAAATATAAATCTTATGTTGTTTGCCAATACAAGCCACCGTAATAAATATTTAATTTTATAGTTACAATTAATTATTTTTAGTGGAAATGTTTATACAGGATGTGTTTATCATGCTGGTGAGCCTTGTACAAGTTGCCCGAACTCATGCAACGCAATATCCAAGCTCTGTCTTGATCCTAAATACGTATCAACAACTACTGGTACTACAAAAATTAGTGAGGATTATGACGAAGAAGATTAAAAATAATAAAGATAATAAAAGTGAATTCAAATAAATTTAATTAAATATTTTAATGTAAAATTGTAATGGAGTTAAAGTAGTAAATCTATAAATTGAAACAAGAATTTACTGTCTTCTTTTGGTAAATTGAAGAAAAATCAACATTTTATTAAATTAAAACTAAATCCTAAATCCCAGTCAAAATTTAATCTTAAGTATACATTTGGAACCTTGTTTTACATGATACCAATCGTATATACCCCAAATAATTTACTCTGATTTTCTATACGATTTTTCAGCCACTACGGTTTACATGTATATTTGTGAAGCACTTGCATTGCACTTTACTGTTTAAATTAAGAAATAATTTATTAATTTTAATTAAATTTCACAATTTTATTTTCCTTTTTATGAAGAGGGCATGCAATAAAAAAATTTTTTCTTTAATTTTTTAAATTTTAAAAAGTGCATGTAAACTAAATTCCCCGAAATATATAAAAATATATTTTATTTTAATATAAAAAATCAAAAAGTGAAAAAACCGAATGAATAAATCAAAAATATTTTCTTTTAAATAAATGTGTGTGTCATCAAAAAATAAAAAATAAAATATGAACTTTCAAAAAATTCTTTTTTCTTTGTCATTCGATGACACTCCGCGCACAGAAAAGTTCAGTCCCTCACTGATTTTGATAAATGTAGGAAGAGCTCAGCCAGAATTTGAATAATGGTTGCTATTGCTGGCATATTCTCCCAACGATTTTTCATATCCATTAATTCATGATAAACTTTTTTAGTAGACTTTGCAGTTAAATATGTCGTTATTGAATGAGAAGTGCTTGGACGACATTTTAATTGCAATAAGGTAGGGCAAGATTTTGTTAAGTGCCCAATTTTTCCACAAACAAAACAATTTTTTCGGTTGTTGTAGGAATTTCTGATGGGGCCTGCGGCCGATTGTTGTTGGGTAAATGGATTTTCTTGTTCGAATGGAAGTTGTTGTTGAGGGACAATGGCGGCAATTGGCGGAGATGTTGGAGTAGGTGTTGTTGTTGTCTGTGATGTTGAAGGCGTTTGTTGGAGAGAGTTTGTTGCTGCTGCTGCTGAAGAAGAAGACATTGGTCTGGTGGCGATCCAACTCTCCAGAATTTGTTCAAAAACATGAACAATTTGTTTATTTTCAGCCGAAGTTTGTGGTTGTGGTCTGGTTGCCACACTAGCCGGACTCTGTGTATTATTGTTATTATTATCTATATTTTTATTAAATAATTGAACCTCAGCATTTTGTAAATTATTATTGCTCATATCTACTATATCGCAATCTTCTTCCAATAAATCATTTAGAATATCATCCAAATCTTTATTTTTCTTGTTTTTCTCGGGTCCAGCACAAGTTCCAGTAATCAATAAAAACAACAATAAAATTGTAGTTGCTTTTTTCCAAATAGTAACTTTTGTTTTAATTTCAGTAATACCAACGTTTGTATTACCTCCATCACTGTGAATATCTGCATTTAAAGTAGCCTGTAATTGTATAGTGTTATTATTATTTATATTAATTTTTAGATTTTTAAGATCTCCGGAAATTAAATCAACATCCACTTCTAGGGATGATAACCCTAAGTTTTCTGTTTCATTTCCTATCAAATCCGGGTAATTAATTATATCTATCCCCAAACATTCTAAAGGATAGAATTCCTCATCTCCATTAAATTCATTCTCAACTATAATACCGGGTCCGACTATCAAGTTATGTGATTCTTCCGGGGTCATGTATTTTTCAACTAATTGACGGTTTCTTTCACAAGACCTTTCATATTCGAAATAGTCAAAGCAATTCGGTTTGACCGAGTTACTCCCTTTATCCTTAACTAAAAACCAATCACTACATTCAATTTTTTGTATTGTTTCTTCTCCCCAGAATATATTCCAGAATAGTAAGGAAGAACCTTTATTTATTCATTTTCTTACTTCAAGTTCGACTCGTCTACGATCCTTGAGATCGTCTGACAGTCGCCAATAAATTCCCTCCTCAGGGCCATTTAATAATTTCGCAGCAAATAGTGGAAGACCATTAAACATTTTCTTTGAATTAAATAATTTTTTATTTGAAATATTTAAAATAATGTTCTTTAAATAAAATATAAATGATTTATATAAAAAATAAATAATGTATATGAATGTAAATAATGTGTATATACATACACTTTCCTTTTCAACCTTAATATTTTTTATCGAATGATTCACTGATTCATCAGAGCCTCCAAGGGCAACAAAAGAAAGTATTAAAGATAACAAAAATAAATTATTTAGCCTCCTATATGTATAGAAAAGGGGTGAAAATTTGAATAATAATTTAAATAGAAAATATATAATTATTAAAGATAATGGTATTATCAATATTAACTTCCAATTAACAAAGTCCAAGATTAAACTGTTTAAGTCTATTAGTTTTAAATTACTCCAGATATCAGATATCCAATTACTAGCAGTGTTTTGTTTTGTATAAATTTCTGGAGTACCATTTTTCATAACTACCTTTACTCTCTCAGCTACATAGAATTCTAATTTGCCCTGTAGCTTAAAAAAGGAAATGCCCGCAGGGCAAATTACTTCACAATTTTCTTGTACTATTTCTTTAGAAAAAGATAAAACTGCATACTGTTCCACACCTTCTTTGGAACAATGTGCTGTAAATATATTATCTTTACATTTAATTTCTGCAAGTATATTTCCCATATCCGCTTTACATATAAATTTAAAAATAGCTCCGGCACAACTGTAACATCCTGACAGCTTTATTGGCATAACTTTACACTTTGTAATTTCCACATTAGAAGCTATAGTCCAATTTTCAATTCTTACCATAACCTGTATTGGTAAATAGCTTATTTCACTCATTATTTTGCTACCAACGCTCCTGAGTTTAACTCTATTTACGTCTAATGGTAGAGATTTGTGCGGATCGTTTAAAATATCCTCTACTGATAAATCTACACAATTACAGGAAATCCTTTCCTTTTCTGTATCTTCCCAACATTCGTTACACACCGAAGTGTCCAGCTTACACTGAGAAAAATTTCCAGGATATTTCCCACAATCTAATAATTAGAGTTAGGATTTTTAGGCACAATAAAGTTAAAAATAGGCGCCTATATAGGCACTCAAAAACTGCCAAAATAGGCACTAAAATCCGAAAAAAAGGCAAAATAGGCAGGCTTTTTTCGAGATTTTCTGATTTATATTGACTAAATTTTATCAAAAATGGCAAATCTAAGCAATAAGATGTTAAATAAATTAATTTTGACGATCAGAATTACATATAAATTAATTTATATTAATTATTTTGTTTCCAAAAATAATTTGATAAATTTTTCAAAAAAAAATTTTTCCGAAAAAAATTTTTTGACAAAAATTTTTTGAAAAAATTTTATATTTTACCAGAAAAAAATTTTTTAGACAGCAATTTTCTCAAAAAATGCCTAAAAATTCGCAAATTTTAGTAAAAATATGCAAAATAGGCTGAAAAAAGGCAAAATAGGGCATTTTGTCAGAAAAGGTTAAAATAGGCAATTTTAGGCAACGATAAAACTAGTTAGAAAGAAGATATCAGTAAAATAACACCGGATTTGGACGTTTCAGCATCAGGCCTATCTAGGAAAAAAACAGGCATTTGCCTAAAAATCCTAACTCTACTAATAATGTTTTGAAATTCTCAGTAATTGCAATCCCAGAATTACCTATAATAAATTGACTGTTTAAGACTGGTGCAATTGGGGGAATTAAATCCCATAACATAATTTTAAAATCTTTCCAGTGAACTGTTAATCCAGGATAAAGTGAAAATTTAGATTTTTCAGAATTTCCATTTAGTACAAGACTCATTTCCATTTCTACACTATAGTCCCAAGTTGGACATGTTACTAATTTAAAATTTTCTTTTGACTTTGGCACCGCGTATATTTGATAAAAATAGCATGTAGAACCAGGCAGTCCACAATTAAATCCCCATAGTGACTGACCATCTATACAGTAAGCATTTCCTGGATATTTAGTCCATTCTTCCAGCTCTGGTACAACTTCGTTGGTTTTAATATTATTACATTTCCCTGCTTTACATGTCCCGACCGAAGGACATCTTTTTACCGATTCTATTCTTGTTTCAAACGACCTTAAATATCCTAAAATTTCTTCATTACATAAAATCGATAATCCTTTCATTACAAATTCTAATTCGCCAATTATAATACCTTTCTCATTTTTTATTGTAAAAGAGCTTGTTTGACCTTCGGGTAAAAGTGTAATAGTATTTACTGTATTTATTTTACAAAATAAATTATTGGATTTTTTATAGCAGTTGTCGCAAAACAAAATTTAAATTTTAATATTTTAATTTTATTTTAAATTTGTTTTGCTGGACAATTTTAAGTTCTATTTTATTCAAGTCCTTTCCTTTTTTATCTTCAATTTAGTCTAGTTTAAAATCAATTTTAATTTCAAAAGATTTATTCAAAAAAATAGAAAAACTTTAATAATTTTAAAGGAATATTTTGAAATAGAAATATTAAAAGATTGAAAAAGTGAATGTTAAGCCTATGAAATTCACTGATTATAAAGTAAAATTTAGGGCGGGAATTTAAAAAAGATGTGACAAAAAATAGGTGTGGTTTGAGTTTGATAACAAAAATTCAAAAAATATAGGCGGGATTTGAATTTAAGTGCAAAAAAATATTGGAATGATTCATTTTTAACATAAAATGAAAAAATAAATTTTAAAAAATTTAAAGAAATTATAAAAAAATTATTTAAAGAATAAATTTAAAAGTCGCTTTTAGCGACAGTGGGGGCGGAAGGAAGAAAGATAGAAAAATAATAAATGAAATTCCTTTTAGTTTAATTTAAGTAAGATAAAAATTAAGGAATTTCATTTAATGAAAAAAATCTTTATAACTTAGAACTAGAACATAACATAGTTGAATTTTCTTCATCCCAACGAGCAGCATTCTGAATTGCATAATTTAAGTTTTCTTGAATCATCTCCAGCTTTGTATAGTAAGATGCACGATCATTCACTGTTCGACATCCTGATTTTGGCATTAGATCAATACAGTCGCTAGCTAATGAACGTATACGAAACAAGTGTGCCACTTCACGATGGTGTGAGCCACGATTAACCTCTTTTGTAGTTTTTTTTTGTTTGTTGCTCCATTAACTTGGCTCTTTTACTTTTCAGGATGATCATAGCTTTATCTTCAGTTTTTTGAGGAGCGTGCACAATAACTGGACTATGATAAAAAACATCCTCCTTCAGAGGTAATGGTCGTTTAGGAATTTTTGGCAAATCGAGTTTTTCTTTCTCATCTTCTTTCATCCTTTTGTTCAACAAACTATTGACAATCTTTATACTAACTTCTTTCTCATTTTCTTTTATTTTCTTCAAATCTGTTTCTTTTGATTCATCAGCATTTTCTAAAATTTCAGAATCAATTTTATCATTTTCTATTTCTATGTTTTTATCATTTATTTTATTTCCAATATTTATTGCTTTAGCTTTTGGTTTATTACTAGAAACTATTATGGGGACATGTTGTAATTTGTTCTTGGATGGACATGATCGATTAGAGCTAATATGGTTATAGTAAACGTTTGGCGGGAAACCATTTTTCTCACATGTTAAACATTTTCTTTTTAACTTACTTTTTGTATTGTCTTTAGTTTTATCAATTTTTTCTTCATCTACTTTTTCTTCGTCTACTTTTGAATGGTCGGAATCAGAAATATATTCACTAGTATCGTCTGATGAATAATTAGGTTCATCCGTAATTTTAATTTCTTTAGAAGGAATTGGAACTTTTGGTGGCATGATCAATAGAATCAATAAAATTTTATTAAAAAATTCTAAAATTGTATAAAATTTTATAAAATTCATTTTGTCAAAAATTATTTTAAAGAATAAATATGTAAGAAAAACAAAGCATAAAAAAATACAAAGAAAATTATTAAATTTTTCTTCGAATGATTGATAGCAAAAAATAAAAAACTTTTTACAAAATGAGGTACTGACATGTCTATTTTTATACATCTTTCTGTGGTAAAACTTTTGGTTAAAAAATGATTCATTGATATAACAAATATTTTTCGTTAAACGATTATGTACAAAAAGATTGTATCTTCTGCTTTTATTTAAAAAACAATTCGTAAATGAGTCATTAAGAGGAGTAAAATGTTGGTCTTGGAAGAAAAAAATGAATTTATTAATAAATAAAGGGTTGTCTTTATCAAATCTAATCAAATAAGGATTGTCCTTGTTAAATCTCAACAAATCAGGATTTGAAGCTCCTCCCGGCAGAATAAAAAAGAAAAATGAAAAAATTAACATTAATTTTAACAAATGTTTATATAATTTAAATAAAAACTTTAGTTTAATCGAAACAAATGTAAAGAAAAAACAGATAGCTAAAACTAAACATAGCATAATCAAATTTTCTAGTTTTAAAACAAAATTAATTATGTCTGAACTAAATAAATTATTTAGTATTTCTTTTAAATAAGTCCAATAATTGTTATTCTTTTTCTCAGTATTTAGTTTAGAATCAGAACTAATTACTTGCCTGTTATTTTCAAATTCTAAAATGTTGATTAAGAACAGTATGCCTTTTAACTTTACATCTGAGGTTCCTCCAAGACAATTTATGGTACATTTTAGGTCAATATGGGCTTTATCAAAATTTAATCTTTTAATTTCATTATATCCATTTTCTGTACATTTTGTTGAAAAGATTATCTCATTTTCACAATTAATTTCGGCTAAAGCAACTCCATGATCTGTTTTACAAGTATAATTTAAATCAGCTCCTGTTCGACAATTGTAACATCCTCCAAATTCGTGAATTTTTAATACACATTTATTCCAATCATCTAAAGTTATTAATCTAAAGTTATTAACTTTAATTACAAGGTCAACAGGCATATCCAGTATTTCTGAATAAACCTTATTTTTATCAAAATCTAGGTTTAACGTTTGAGTTTTGATTGGCAAAATCTTTGGCGTGTTCAGAATTAGATTTTCCAACTCTAAATTTTTACATTTACAATTTACCTTTTCATTATCATGATCAGGTAAACATTCCTGACAAATTTCTTCTTTTATTTCACATTTAAATTTCAATGCGTTTTCGTAATTTTTACAATAAACGTTCGAATAAATTTCATCAGTTAGCGAAACAAATTTTTTATTAGTAATGAATTTACCAACCATATCTGGTTCTGGAGGTAGCGAAAATTGAGTGACTGATAGTGTGATATTAGAATCATGAACTATATTTCCGGGATGTAATTTATACACAGATTCGTGTTTTTCATTTGTTTCATTTCCAATAAATAATTTTTCAATTTTAATTTCAACTACTGGTATCCATTTACAAGAAAAAATTTCATAAATATCAGAGTCTGTAGGTTCTACATAAATTCGGTAAAATAAACAACTAGAACCCGTATTCAAACCACATTTACACCATATAAAACTGCACGAAGCAGTACAACGATTATATCCTGTATAATTTTCCCAAGGTTTTAACTCATGTATTTCTTGAACCCAATTATTATTAACTATTAAACAATTATCATGGTGACAACTTCCTGTCATAGGACAAGATTTAACAGTTTGTATTTTAACTTCGTATGATCTCAAATATTTTTCAACGATTGGTTCACAAATCATTTTAAAACTTTCTGGAGTCAAATTTATTTGTCCAAGAATTTTACTTTTACTATCTTTTAATATAATAGATTGTTTTACTTTATTGTTTAGCATTGTTAAAGTTTCAACAAAATTCCATGAACAATCTATTTTTCCATTTTTTCTAATACAATTTTCAGTCAAGGCAGTTCTCGAAATCATTTCAGCATTGATTATATTAACGAGAATTAATGAAATTAATAATCGTCTTTTTAAAATCCATCTTCTTGGACTTCTACTCATTTTCTTGACTTTATTGTTTTTATTAAAACAAAATCTAATTATTTTAAGGACATTTTTGAATAAACATAAGAAAATTGAACAAAATATAATTGAGCCAATTATAGTTAAGCTTAGTAAAAATATAGAAATTATTGGTGAACATGTATGATTTATCATTCTTTCTAAACAAAGATAACAAGGGATTAATTTACATAGATCCGTTGGTTCGCATTTAATTTCATATTTCAGTAAATTTTTATTTTTTGACCAAAAATTTACTTCACAATGGTGATGAGTAATTAATACTTCTTTATCGATCTCAAAAAGAAATTGTTCAACTCTTGCGTGAGTTGTACAAGGTCCTTCGCTGCAACATATTTCATATTTGTCAATTATTTCAGGAGAATTTATCAATATTCCTTTATCATTACATTCAACTTGGCAATTATTACATTGGATTTTAGCGTCAATGCTTAAAAACATAACACATATTAAACAAAAAATGAACAATGTTGTAGTAATATTTATTAAAGTACTTGTAATTACTTTTGAAATTGTACTTTTATTTATTTCTTTATTTTTATTTATTTCTTTATTTTCTTTAATCTTTTCATCAACTTTATTTTCTAACGAATTTTCTTGAATAATTTTATTGTTTGTTTCGTCTTTTATTTCTCTATTTTCAATATTTAATTCTAATGGATATAATTTATTAATTGGTCGAGAAATGATAGAACCGTTTGGCATTAAAATTTTTACATTTCTAACGCAACGTCCATCTTTAGTGTCCAGTAATTCGACAATTTTTACAATTTTCCAAAAATTTCTAGGAACAAATTCTTCTTCTAAAATCACAACTTCTCCAATTTTAGGTTCTCTTTTAGTCTGTAATCTTGGTCCTTTCATGGACCATTGACTTTTATCCCTTAACCAGATCAAGTATTCTTTTTTCCAACGTTTCCACAGTTCATTTGAAAGAAATTCTGTGTAAATAAACGAGTCTTTATATTTAATAGAATAATTTAATATTGATTCGTTTGCTCGAGGAATTTCTAAATCTAAACATAAATTTCTTCTTGGACAAAGAAAGTCAACAGGTCTTAATGGAATTATTCCAGGTACATCTGGATTTTCTTCAATAGCTGTCAAAGGTCTCATATTGAGAATACCTTCTACTTCAGTCGTGAAAGTTATCATTTCTTCCCATTTTAAAGAACCTTTACCCAAAGTTTTTCGGAAAGCGTCTTTAACTAGAGCGACAATCCTTTCGTATACGCCGCCTTGCCAGGGACTTAATTCTTTAATAAATTTCCATTTCAAGTCATTTCCAATTACATTTAAATTAATTTTACAAGTTTTAGCACAAGCTATGAATATTTTAGAGTTGTCAGATAGAATTTTTTCTGGACATCCTCTTCTTGCAGCTAGTCTTTTTAGTACATTTAAACAAGTTTCTGTTTTTAAATTCTTTACAGGTTCTAAATAAACAGCTCTTGTACATAAGCAGGTGATTAAAGTTATCCAAAATTTTTTATCTTGGTTATCAATATCCTTATAAATGGATGGACCCAAATGATCAATACCAATACTTTTAAACGGTGAACTAAACTGAGTTCTGTCTATAGGCAAACTCGGAAATTTTGGCAACATAAAAGGATATGATTTCATTTTTCGACATTTTAAACATCGATTAAGTACTTCTTTTACTTTTCTTCTTGCTTGAGGAGTCCAAAATTTACTTAGAAATTCGACAAGTGTACTTTGAACACCTGCATGTTTAAATTTTTCATGTAAGGAATTTATTATCAACGGTAAAATTTCTGAATTTTTCGGAATAATGATTGGATTTTCAAGATCAAAATGAGCATCACTATTTTTTATTCTTGATTTTAATCTTTTAATATAATTTTCATCTTCAAAGATTTCCCATTTATTAAAATCATTTAAATTTTCATTTTGTACTAATTTTATTAAAAGATTTTCAGCAATTTTTTCAACATCATCTTTCAAAAGAAAATCTAATTTACCTTTCCATTTATTGTCTTTTAAAATCTTTTCAAATTTTTTCTTTAGAAATTTAATTACAATAATTATGGTATTAATTAGTATCGTCCACTTACTAAATCTTTCAAATTTTATCAAATTTATTGGCACATTTTTAATTGACATTGTAATCGGTATTTCATTAAAATCTAAATCTTCTTCAATTTTTATTTCTAAATCTTTTGGCCAATTTTCTTCTTTTAAAGCTAACCAGTGTGGTCCATTCCACCAAAGATAATTTAAACAAAGTTCTGACGGAGTTGAACCTCTTGTGGAAATGTCCGCAGGATTATCATTAGTAAAAACATATTTAAAAATTAAATCAGTATGTTTACGAATTTCTTTTAGTCTATTTTCAATAAATCGTGGTTGTATTTCTTTACAGTTTAACCATAATAAAACAGCTTTAGCATCGCACCAAACAAATTTTTTATCAATTTTTATATTAAGTTCGGCAGAAACGAATTTTTGAGCACGAACACCAATCATTAAAGCTAATAATTCCATACGTGGAATAGTCAAGTTCTGTTTCTTAGATTTTATTCTATTTCTAGAATAAATCAACGAAATTTTAGTGTGTTCATAATTTTCACTTCTTAAATATACTGCAGCCGCATAAGTATCTCTGTTAGCATCAACAAATACATGTAATTGATTTATAGTATCAATTTCTTTATATATAGTCATTCTTGGTATTATCATTTCTTGATCTATCCAAGTTTTTAAAATATTTTTCCATTCAATCGAATGTTTAATATCTAATTCTTCATCCCATTTTTTGGGTTTATCCCATAATTTTTGAAATAATAATTTGGGATTAACAAGACAAGGCGAAACTAATCCCAAAGGATCAAATAAAGATGTCATTACTTCTAAAACTTTTCTTCTTGTAAATTTTTCTTCTAAATTTGCATTAGGGAATTTTATTTCTAAATTATCATTTTTAATATCCCATTTAATTCCTAAAACTTTTACATTTAAATCTGTTATTTTATCAATTTCAGGAATTTTTTCTAAAGCATTTCTACCATTTGTTATAAATTCTCGTAGATTCATTTTTCCTTCAGAAAAAATTTTTTTTAATTCAATGTATTTTTGGTAAATTTCCTCTTCAGTATTGCAATCAATAAATACATTATCAACATAAATATTTTTAAATAAACTTTCTTGACCAGGGTATTTTTTCAAATGATGTTCGATAGTCATAGCCAAAAGACTAGGCGAACAAATAATTCCAAAGGCAACTCTTGTAAAGCGGTATATTATTAAATTACCGGAAGTCAAAGGTTTATTTATGTCTTTTAACCAAAGAAATTTGGTTACTTCTCTATCTGATTCTTCTAGTTCAATTTGAAGAAAAGCTTTTTCAATATCTCCTAACAACGGAAATCTAGACAATCTAAATCGCATTATCATTCCAGCTAAATCTGGCAATTTTAAAGGACCTCTAAATAAACAATCATTTAAACTTTTTCGTCCTCTTGTTCTGGCAGAAGCATTATATACTTCTTTAATTTTATCATCTTTAAAAACAGGTCTGTGAGGTAAATAATGTTCTAATTCTCCTTTATTTTTAAAAGCTTCTTCAATTATTCCAAGATTAAGCTGATCATTAATAGTTTTATCTATTCTTTTTAAATTATCTAAACCTTGGTCATTTTGTAAACGATTTAATAAAGACTCTAAACATTTATAAGCAATTCCAAAATTCGTAGGTAGATCAGGTATTTCATCTTTCCATAACCATTTTACTCTATATCTACCATTAACTTGTCTTATGGATTTATCAAATAATTCTTGAGCAGTCTCATCTTCGTTTTCTTCGGGATTTTCAGTGATACCTATACTTTGTAAATCCCACCAAGATTTGATT